TCAAGAGGCCTCTCTTTACAGTGACGCCGTGGAACTCCGATGGCGTTGTAATAAGTCACCCACTATTATGTTGAACGTAACCTGACGTCATATGTAAATTTTTAAATTGTGAAATATGAGATTTTAGTTACAGGCACGATAAGTAGAGGCTAATCACCCAAGGAGATTTGACGGTAGGTTGAATCTAACAACACTATATCAAGAAATTCAAAGCTGTAGTAAAACTTGAGTAATTTAATTTAGCTATAAATATCGATGTTTTCTTTCATGTCCCCCAAAATATAAACATCATTAGGGTAAAAACTGGGGCCTGAAGCCCCCAAGACCTAAGTCTTCAGCCTACCTTGCGCTGCCTAATGATAAACTCAGCACTGCATTCAATGCATGATTTGGGATTTTGTCGAAATTTCAATTTTTGGTAGATTTTGAACATACTTCGGCTATATCGTAAATAGCTTCCATTTTAAAATCGGGCGCTTTAGGCCCAGGCCTGATGTACAGAAAATATACTGTATTATTAATATCGTGGTAGAGTTCTGGATACCAATATATGAGATTGAGCCGAGTGCAATTCCACGTGACTAATTATTTAGGACACAGATGATTAAATTTCAAAATGCAATTAGAGCTGAATTTACCATTGGACAAGGTAGGCCAAGCCTTGGGGGACCTAAGCCTTAACGGTCTCGACGCTTGATTTTGATTTATTATTGAACACGTTAGTGTACATAACGAAATTGGCGAATTCATGTATTTGAGTAAGCTCTTATTGTTCATTTTTTAGAGTGTTCCAAGAATGCGTTTAAAATTTTATTAAACAGTCACTTGTTTAATTTTTAATCAGGTAATTAATTCGTGCCCAGTAATTGGGGGATGCTACACACCTCTCAGCCACCTCGACCCAAAACGGGTATTGTGACTTAGATTTTTTTTTTTGCATTGAAGTTTCATTACAGCCTTGAGCTTTTTAAAGTGTTTTTAAATTGAACTTACTATCCTATCTACTGAGTGAATAGAATACGTATCTCGACTAAAACTGTAATTTCGTATTTAACACAATGAAAATGTCATTATGACCAGGCAATTCATGACCATCGAACCATGGACACTAAACTTAGTTTTGACGGACTCCCATCATATGCCGTATCAAAGTCTAGCCTACGAGGGAGGACAATATTTTATTTACAAGAAAACTATAGAAACGATTAATGTGATGGATGAGGTGACTCCACGACCTGTATTTTGTCATCACATTGGTAAGAGCTGAAATGCCGCCATACATATGCAGGTCGTTTCAAAAAGCGATGAAATTCTGTTTGTATTTCCTTATAGCAATTGATATTTGTCCACAAAGCTCAATCACAATGACTTTTTGATTGAAATCGGGCCCGGGCCAAGGGCCCTAGGGCCACTTGCCGCCTAAATCAGGCGCTGTATGCAATTCGCACATGAAAGATGTTATGACTATTATGGAATTTCAACTCTACCGATCATACCTAGACAAAATTTAAGTGGTGCCAACGCAGGTAAAACTGCAAAGCCGATAAAAATACCTATCGTTTAGCGTAGCGGTTTCCAAAGTGGGCAAAAAGACCGTGTAGGCGTTTGCCATAACTGACTTCAAACTGGACAATTAGGACCGAAACTATTAAACGACTGTGGGCGCAGACAACAAAGCATGTAGGCCCAAGAATGTAGTATAATTTTGCTAATTCCAGGTTTGCTCGGAATTTTGGTTCGAGAGATCCAATTTGACTTTTCCTCAACCTTTGATCCCGGAAAATTCTCCACATACTTCACCATTGCAAAATTTTCGGGACTTATTTTAGGAGTGGGTGCACGAGGTGTCGCCTGTAAAATGGGGTATTTGTTTCAAACCACCATTATGATTCATCGCATGCAACAATCTGTTTTTTAAAAGTTCCGGTGAAAAATTTAAGCCCAGTCTATCACAGCTATTTCTACACTAATTTTTTATTACTGCAATTAAATTGAAACTCCTAAGAAGACAAGGTGATCATTGAATTATCTGATTTATATTCAAATTTCCGAAACACAACTGAAAACTGGCGAATAGATTTCAAGTCTGAGTGAGAAAAGGGTCTGGGCGAATGCGAAAAGGGGCCATTGTTACGTCAATTTTTGCATCTTGTCGATTGGCCAATGTCACGAAGTAAACAAGAAAGTCGATGCTCGGGGAAACATTCATATAGTAACACTTTTATATTTATCGCGCATTGATTCGTAGTAATACTGCTCCGGTGCGTAGCCCTCCCCACGCTGTCCTGCATGAGTTGAATGCCGTATAATTTCAAATTAGTTTACAGTTCAGATTTTTTACTGCCGACTTTTAGGTGCTTGAAGCCCTAACTGTGCGCCATCTGTTTGAAATGAAATGAGCTAGGAAGAACCATCCCCCCGTTGCGATGGTTCATTTTTCATTTTTGGGTCATTGAATAACCAGTATAGTAAAGTATTGAAATCCACAGAAACCATTTAACTGTACTCGCTACGTTGCCAGTTTGTCTAACCATTGTCTCAAACTCAGTTACTCAGCATCTAAATTTTAGACATACATCTTGTAAAGACCCATGCATCAGTTAATGTTTTTCTTAAATAAATTAGTGGCCTCAAACGACCTGCTCAAACGATCATGATCGCCGCGTGATTTTTCAGTACTCATGTGACAGCATAATAGATTGAATATATTAATTACATTGTTTTGATTACGATTAGTGTCCGATGCCATTTAATGCTTGGTTTGGCTCGCTCCATTCGCTCGTTCCATTTCAAATAACTCGTGTCTGAAGCAGGGCATAGACAGATGTACTGCATGTGGATTAAATTTCAGCTAGTGATAGCTTAAAAATTAGATTTAAAAAAGGAAAGAAACGCGTTGCTTAATAAGTTGGGAGATGAACGCGATGTCTAATGTCAAGCTTGAATCAGATAGATGTACCGTTGTTCGATATCGGTAAATTTTTCGTTTCGGTATTTCCATCGGTATGGGGCTGAATTTAGACCGATATTTTCGATACATTTAGCTTTTCAATCACATATTAAACGATGTTGAACCTATTCGCCTCGTTAATGATGGGCCACGCTCGACCCCACCCCCGCGAGTATAAGCGGAAATAGGATTCTAGGACCTGTTTTTACCATTTATCGGCCAAACTAACTCAACTAATTTAGCTATTTTTGCTGTCTAAATTTTATATCAAAATTTTCAATGTGGTAAATATGAGGAAATATATCAATTGAATATTAGTGGATCTTCCAATGTGCCAAATACAAAATAGAACGTTATATCGACACGAAACCCGCTCAAGCAACGATAGGTAAACATTATTTCACCCCCATATTGGCCGAACCATATGAGTTTTATAATTTAACACCGAGATTACTAGCGTTGTCTGCGTTTTGAAACTTATCGGTAAATTATTTTTTCAAGTTTTTACAGAGAACTTGCGCGCAATAATATATATATGTTTATATTGCAATCAATTACAAATATTAGTAAGAAATCTATATGCACACTGCGTATACTTTTTCAATTTAGTATTTCAATTTTTTTAATGTGTGCATCACATTAGTTTGGTAGGTATAGTAAAGGTATTATTATATCCATTTTTTCTATTGATTTGCAAGGGAAAGAACGTGCCTGATTAAATTTTATGATGTAGTGTTGCATCAAAACATTACGTATACTATGATAATATGACTATGGGATTACTTGCATTCTTGCTATGAAAAAAACACACAAGATTATTACCCTATACCTATAATAATCAAAATATAAACTTGAAAGAAATTGTTTTTTATTCAAGATACAATATAGCATGTTTCTGATGTATGTGTCGCAACAAGTTGTCACTGATAGGATATATTAGATACTTCCATTATATATATCAGGGGTGGCCAACACGTCTTGAGGAGTCGATCGCGGCTGATATTGAGAAAGTTTGATATGATCCGTCGGAAAATCTCCCTGAACCAGTTTCCTGCAGCGCTTATGTGTTACAAAACGAATAACACAGTACTGCGCACGCACGTTTTATTACGTAAGAAATGCAATTTTTACTGCTGCCGATGTTAAGAAATGAACTTGCCGAATACCGTCTGCCGGTCGTACAACATCTTTTGCTCTATGCAAGGGTAATTGTTATAAATTTCATTTGCAGCGGTAGCAGTGGCTTCATAATACCAATTGTTTCTAAATCCGTGCTAGCAAAGAACCGGACTCGAAGGAAATTATGAATTACGAAGTTTGAGTCATGTAACATTTATGATTGTGAATAGTAGTTTTTTGCTGTTTAAAATCTAAACTTTAGATAATACATAGATACCTAGCAAAGTTTTTTTAGGAATTTGCAACACTTACGTCTAAGAATAAGGCAGGTCTTGAATCAGAATTGTATGATTTGGATAGGCATTTTATCCGGGTACCATTACATAATCAAATTAACGGTGATCGTACATTTGAACCCATGCATATATCCGCGGGTTCAATCTATATGCGGGTGCTAAAACCCATCGGTTAGGGTGAGTATGGGTTCAAATATCCGTAAAACAAAAAAAAATTCCATAGGTGCAATAGTATGCAGGTGCAATTGTCGTGGGTTCAAATGTAATGGAACCCAAATTAACAGTTGAAATGGAGCATACAATTTCCATTTCATTGAGGATGCTACAAAAAGACCGAGCTTATTGTCTGTAGCGGAATTATTTGTATACGGGTGTGCAGATATCTCTTTTATTTTTGTACTTGTCCTTTTTACCGATCAGTCGATCACGAACTCTTTTGTCGATTTTAGTCGATCGCGGTGGCAAGTAGGTTGGTCACCCCTGATATATATAATGTCATAATCTTTCAATTATAGGATTTCGTAATATCTCAAACGGTACATCTTTATATCTTGTATCCAATATATCTAATTAGCGCAACTTTTGTAATTTTTTTTTTCGGATTCTATCAGAATATTTAATAAAATTACCACACGATTAACATTCACTTATTATATTTTATGTTCATTTTTTTGGTTATTACTTGATAATTATGTTCGAATAAATATGATAGCTATCTTATCATGGTGAACAAAATGAATTGTGCAACTTTATTTCCAATAATTCGACGACAAATTTTACACGTTGGCTTAATTGACTCATAAATTAAAATCTCTGAAAATGAACTGAAAAGGGGGAATGCTCAGTTTAAGCACCTTTATTCTCGTCACTGGCACATGCTTACAAAACATGCGTATGAGCTATTCCCTGAAAAATCCGAAAGTATGGTGTCAAACAACCGCAAAGATTAAGAGGGTAAAGTTATGTGGTATGTGAGACAGACAACCGGATAACTATGAGTTTACAGAAATTAGTTCAAACGAACTCGGCAATTTGATTCTCATTTACCCATGAATAGAACTTTGATTTAGGTATACGTAAATTTTAATAGTCAAGTATCAACAATTTATATTTCAATAATAACAACGATAGATCAAGCAATGTTACCAAATATAGATATCTCGATAGATATAAATCTATATATTATCTCTGACTAATATTATGAATGCATTAATTATCGAATAAAGTTATCTATTAAAGCAGGGGTTCCCAAACCGCGGATAACGGGCCAAATCGGGCCCGCGAAACGATTTAAAATGGCACGCCGAGCTTAAGTGAAATAGTGTGCAACAGATTTTGTTTCTACCTTTTTGCATTCTAGATAGCGCCAAGTGTGACGCCATTATCATAGTTTAGGCAAGTGTTTATCGTAGCAATTCAATTAAAACGGTATCTCAATTCTACGTACCGGTATTAGGATTGCATAGGGCACTAATTTAGTTATGAACCATATACGCTTAAGATGTCAAAACGAAAACTAGACTCCGAAAACGGATTTTTTCAGATAAATGGCAGCAGTGGTGAATCCACTGAACCCTTACTAAACCGTCGCGCACTTTCGGGCGCTACACTCTTCCGGCCCGCGAACATCTCTCCGATTCAAATTTTGGCCCGTGACGAATAACGTTTGGGAACCCCTGTATTAAAGTTTATATTCATAACAAACACTTTTTAAAAATTTTGTGTCAGGTGCAGATTTTCTTGCAAATTTATTATATTTTTTCATACTATTGATTAACATTTGATGTAAAGGAAAAAGCATTATAAAGGAGTAAAGATAACTTGGATCAAATACTATTTTCTTTAGCTATGTTTACAAATTGTCAGAGCTTTTGTTTCGTTTGACGACGAGCGAGAATAACTTTGTAATCGGGAGGCTTCAGTATAGATGATGATATGCCAGACATGTCTACATCTTCATACGCCGGGTCTAACGACACATCATACCTGTTTGAATGGTAAATACACTAAAAGACTATAACTAAACATAATAAAAACATTATGGTTACAATTATTTTTGAGGTTGGAGGTGGGCGTAAACTTTACAAATATCAAAATGGGGTGCGGCTAAAAAAGTTTGATATCTACTGCTCTATAAGTGAATACTAACCGTAGTACAATTGTAGCTAAAAAGACAAAGATATCAGCTTCAGCAATTAGTTTTCCCGCGCATTTACGGTCTCCAATTGAGAATGGAATCACGTGATCCGATTTCACAAATTTCCCGTTCTTATCCAAATGCCTGTCTGGCCGAAAAGCTTCGACGTCCGGCCCCCAGTACTTTGGGTCGTGATGAACACTCCACAAATTTGGATAAATGACAACACCTTTTGGTATCTTGTATCCACCAACTACAGTATCAGAAATGGTTTTGTGGAACAGAGCGCCTGGTGCTATTGGACGCAACCTCATAGCTTCCTGTATAACTGCTTTCAATAATGGTACTTTTTCCTGACATTTGTAAAGATCCCATATAGCTGAATATAAACGAGTTGTGTAGCATAAATAACAAAGCATCAAAAACAGTTCATAGTATCTAACCTACTATAATTTTCTATTTCTTGCCCAATGACGAGGAAATTGATAGTTAGTTTGGTTAATTAAAATAACTTATTTCATATGAAATACAAAAACTTTCAAGATGTTCACTAGAATATAAATTTCAGAATAAGTTTGCCTTACACCCATAACCTTTCATGCCTTCTTCAAGTTCTTGTTGAACTTCTTCCATCATATCTCGATGTTTCAAAAGAAATATAATGACCCACATCAACTGGTTTGATACGGGTATTGAACCGGCTGATATCATGTCCATAAAGATGAGAGCAAGTGATTCCAAATCGTATTGATCGGGTTCAGGGTTTTCTAAACATTGGATAAAGTATTTACATCATATAGGTATAATTGATGTTTCGTTAGAGTTTTGCTTAGAAGCAAATATAATCTACAAACAACTACATTAACCTAATAACTACAAAATACATAAAGTCGTGACTAATTAGGGAAATAAAGACATACAGGATACATAAAATGAAGATTAGTTAGTGACTAGCGTATTTTTACTGCTACTGCATTTAAATACAAAAAATCTTCATCAAGACGTAGTTCAAAAATATTTAAATGACCGTAATTCAACTCCTGAGTTATGAAACATGTCGCAAAAAGTAAATTGATAAGTAAATTGAAAATCGACATTAGATAATTCGTATACTCTACTGTTTCCCACCTTCGAAAAAAGAACAAGTCAAGTCTTTCATGTGAGACTGTTTCTCTAGTCGATGTTCTTCTATCAGAGCAATTATCCTCTTTACCAATTTTGATCGGCTGGCGCTTTCATCAGCCAAAAACCTGTTTAATATGTTTTGAATAAATAATATGTCCAATTTTGTATATTCCTGTTTAAATATGTAAAATAGTTAGAATTAGTGGCTCAAAGACTTATACTCAAAACTTGTCCAGAAAAAGAAAAAAACAAACGAGAATTGTGCTCACTTCTATATATATCGTGAACCTACGCTTTTCGATCAGTTATCAAGGGGGATACGTCGACTGTGCTATCGTCTTGAGGCAAAAACGATTTATATTGTAATGAGTGTAATCCATCAAAATATTGTACGGCATGTGTATATTAAAGCATATAAACTATGCACTTGGTCGACGAGTCTGCACATCCGTATGGCTTCACGTTAGCTTCACACTCACCATGAAAATGGGGGGAAATACGACAGTGACGGTGTGAAGAATAATATAGGGAATTTGCTTTTAAATCGTGGTGCGTTTATGTCGGACACAAGCTTTTGCAATTCCATTCTCCTATTCGACGGAAATTCTTTGTTCATACAACTCTGAATAATAAATTATGTAACAAATTGGTACAATTGTGCGAAAGCAGAGTCGTTTCTCGTCAACAAAATATAGTTTGTGTTGTAACTTGGATACTGGCTTTTTGTTTTTACAATATTACATAATGAGATCCAGAATAATGGACAGCTTACCGTAGCAACACATACACATTCGCTAGTTAAAAACGCTGTTATAACAGTTATAAATATTTACAATATGTTCAGTACTTACAAGAAAAGCAACCTGGTCCATACGATACTGTAAGTAATCTCCCAATGCAACAGACTCTCCGTTCTCAATAAAATCTTTCAAATCTTCAGACAGAAATTTATCTGCTTGGTCACAAATTATTTTGGGAAGCTCTAAATAAATTTTTATACCATATTGTCGATTCAAAATACTTGAATATATTTTCAAAGCAATGTTTGTTTATTTTTATTCTTTGGTATTTATTCGTAAGTGAGATGCATGAGGTGCACGTCTTTGCTGGTTTAAAAGAAAATATGGGAATAGTTCTTGGTATATTATAAATATTTGAGGAATGTATCAACAGCATGTATAATTTTCAGCTTTTGAATGGAAGTTTGTCAAACGTAATCATGTAAGCGCCAAATTTACTCACCTAAATAAAGAATTGTCAGATAGATGAGATAAAAAAAAACAGATTATGGTGTTGAAGACAACTACCAAACTACGGATATTATATTCCGTTATGTCTAGATAAATTAGCACCAATGCTACGCAGCGAACAATTTTGTATTTTAACATGTGTTATCCCTACAGAAGCTATCCTAGCTTACCTGACATTACTGATGCTACCGATTTGACCACAAATGGTTTCCACTTTTTCCATGAATCTCCATACTGAATGAAGAATAGTCCTCGATTATCTCGTATGGCTTCGAATAATGGACCGGTAATACGACCAGACATCTCACTTTTATTTGTTAACAATCCTTCTTTTATTGCATCGTACCTTTAAGATTTACAAGATCCATAATGACATATTATAAGGACAAAATACTGCACATATAGATATAATTAACTTAAATTAAACTAACTTGATTCCAGGAGGTTAGAATTCATATTTAGGATCTCAAAGTAGCTCTACTGATCAAAACTTTCCAAATGTGAGACGAAATACTGGAATTTTAACTAGAGGGCTCGAACATATTTAAAACTTTATATTTCGTGACTAATTCGCAGAAAAAAAATGAAAGTCGAAGTTGAGATTCCCCAATGTTTTATTGATATATATCTATAACAATCATCTGTCAACACATGGCTCACCCATTCAGAACAACCCAATCTTGGTTGAATATTTTGTATCGAAAAATATTTCCATAATGTTGATTTGCCCAATTCAGCAAAGTTTTTTCAGCAAACGGTTTAAGCTGTAGAGCAGATCCAAACAATGGCCATCCCCATGGCCCAGGCATATTTCTGAATTCAGTCGTTTCTGACATCTTGATTAATAGCCTTCTAGAATCTATAGATGATTCAACTACCTAATATAGCTAAATGTTTCAAAATCTTGCTTGTAACTGAAAAATGCGACGATTCTGCTCTGCAAACTAATTTTTTATTTAATATTACTTCAATAGAATCAGGACTGAAATATTCTAGACACACGTTAGAGAAGTTATCAGTTTGTTAATATAAACATGACCGCAGATAAAATTGGTCGATGTAGCACTGATCATACAATTAATAGGAGGTTTTAGACTTTATTTAAAGATTGCATCGAAATTGATGTCTTTTTTCAACAAGAACATACTTTTTCATGAATAGCCTGGCCTAACTCTAATCTGGTACACATACTACGTTCCGGTGTCCGCCATCTTGGTTCACATAATTCAGGAGTACCAATTTTCAATTATAGATTGAACTATTTATTGCTGTTTCTCGTAGGTAAAGTAGCTGAAACTATAACCCAACACCAACGACAATTTAATAAAACAATCCATGAATCCACTACGTGTTCAAAGACTCACTCTGTTCACAACGTGACATTAATGTCTGAATAATATAAGCGCCGTTGTAAAAGGAAAATGTCCATGCTTCCTTCCATCATGAAATTACTCGAAATGATCTCTCGGGAAATTATGTTAAGCATCAACAGATTGTCATTAATATATATCACATTCTACGTGAGATGCCTGATAATGGATTTCGGTCGTGTACAGTGCGCGCTATGACACAGATAATGAAAATATGATATTTCAATTAAACGCGTTGCATTCACAACTACTTTCATGCATTAGTCAATGTAGCAAAGTGAACCGCACCGCCACGAACTTCAACACCTTCGAGATTATTGAGTTTCAAGACTCACAGTGGCTTGCCATGCTGGGAAGGTTAAAATAGAAAAAAGAAAAGTCTGAAATGACGAAATTTTAGTTTCAAAAATGCGTTTCAACATTTTCTATGGCAGTGATACATCTATTACGTCAGGTGGCTTTTCCAAACTTGCTAATATTGAGCAATTGGTTGGTGAAGAGAGTATACTGAATTTTTGACGATTTCATTCGCTAAATTAAAAGCATTTTCGTCGTTGAAAATTGTTGCAAAATGAATGTTTCTCTTCAATCAGTGACTTGAAATTTGACGGTATTTTTTACGACTCAGGACGCAGAAATTTCATGACTAACTAGTAGTGAATGTGTCGAACTACATATTATTAGTTTAAACAATTTAAATAATTTATTCCATTTAAAATACATAAATTTTTGAAACGTTCACTAGGATATAAATTTTAGAATAAATTTGCCATACATCTATAACCTTTCATTTCTTCTTCAATTTTATGTTGAACTTCTTTCATCATACCTGGATGTTTCAAAAGAAATAAAATGATCCACATCAACCGGTTTGATACGGTTATTGAACCGGCCGATATCATGTCCATGAAAATAGGCGCAATGATTCCAAATCGCCTTGATTGGGTTCAAGGTATTCTAAACATTGAAAAGTGTATTTGCATCATATAAGTATGCCTGATTTTTCGAGGTGGTTTTCCTTAGGAGCGTATATGATCAACAAAACAACTACAATAAATCTATATAAAATTCATAAATTTGTGACTGATTAATGAAAAAATAAATGACATACCAGTTACACATAATAAAGATTAGTAACTGGCGTGTGTATTTTATTACTGTTAGACGTGCATTCAAATACAAAAAATCTTAAGACGTTGTTCAAAAACATTTAAAAACTGTATTCCAAGCCAAGTTATAAAACATGTCGCAAAAATTACAAATTTGATGCAAAGTGAATTAAAAATCAACCAGATAATATACTGTACTGTTTCCCAACTTCAAAAAAGGAACAAGTCATGTCCTTCATATGGGACTGTTTTTCTAGTCGATGTTCTTCTATCAGATCAATTATCCTGCTTACAATTTTTTTCTGCGGGTGGCTTCATCAGCCAGATAACTGTTAAATATGTTTTAAATAAATAATACCACCCATTATGTTAATCTGATATAATTAGAATGCGTTAGAACTATTATGTCAAAGACTAATACTCTAATTTCGTCCAGAAAAAGGAAAGACGAACGATAATCGGGCTTATTCTTATGATGAGCCTACTGTTTTCAATCAGTCATCAATCCAAGTCCGGTATGTTAGTAGTTACTTTTTTTAGATGCATGGTCCTGATAGTACACACGGGATATCTGAACTATGTTTTCGTTTTGGTATGAAAACGATTTATATTGTAATCCATTAAAAATATTGTACGGCATGTGTATATTACCGTATAAACTAAGCACTCGGTCGATGAGTCGGTACTCCCGTAGTGCTCCACGTTAGTTAGTCCTCACTCACCATGAAAATGGGTGGAAATACGACAGTGACGGTGAGAACAATAATGTAGCGAATTTGGTTTTAAGTCGTGGCGCATATATGTCGGAGACAAACTCTTGCAATTCCATTCTCCTTTTTGACGGAAATTTTTTGTTCATACAATCTGAATAACAAATTATGTAACAAATTGGTAATATTGTGCGAAAGCACGAGTCGTTTCTGATCAATAAATTACAGTTTTGTCTTGTAACTTGGATAATGGCATTTATTTTTACAACATCATAGAGATCCAGAATAATGGACAGCTTACGATAGCAACACTCGAGCTAAAAACGCGGTTATAACATGGGAGACTGTTTTAGTGAAAATACTTCGATATAACCCTTCCAGCTTCTACCAACCGACATGCATAGCATACATGGCTACTCACACAATTTGCAAACATTTGTATGTATATTAGACTAGAAGAGGGGGGAGTTTGAACAACATTGATATTACCAAAATGAAACGTGTAATACTGCATCATTTATACACTAGTCAATACATAGTTAATTCTTGATTATCTCGAACAAAGTATATTCAGAATTCGCATTCAGGTATAAAACAAGTTTTACTCCCACGGTAGGAAACCAGAATCTAGCACTGACATGGGCAAACTACGGACCGCGGGCAAAATCAGGCCCGTTGGGTAATCCAATCTGATCCTCCTGATTCCGCCACAGCCAAACTAAACCCAAATTTTGATGTTTTAGTTAAAAAAAATAGCTCAAGGAATTCTTTAATATTATATTTAGTTTTGGCACGAGGCTTTTGTAACACTGTAGATATTGTTCATATATAATTGTCATTATTTACGTCACACTTACATGGCCCGCCAGTCCAGATAGGCAAAATTATTGACCCCTGGTCTAAAAACCTTGCACACCCCTATTTAGTATGATGGCATTCCTATTCATCAGAAATCTATAAAAAATCACTTGTTTGAAAAAATTTCTACATCAGGCAAAAATTAGTATGCATTGCCGTCTATTAAAAATGTTTACAATATGTTCAGTACCCACAAGAAAAACAACCTGGGCAATCGATACAGTAAGTAATCTCCCAATGCAACAGACTCTTCGTTCTCAATAAAATCTTTCAAATCTTCAGACAACAATTGTTCACAAATTATTTTGGAAAGCTCTAAATAACATTTTTGAACTTATTCCATAATTCAAAATACTTGAATATATCCAAAGCAGTATTTGTTTATTTCAGAACGTTGGTACTTATTTGTAAGTGAGATGCATTCATTTTTGCTGGTTTGAAGAAAATGTGGGAATAATGCTAGGTATATTATAAATATTTGAAGAAGGTAGCATCAGCATATATAATTTTCAGCTTTTGAATGGTAGTTTGCCAGCTTATAAAGAAATATAACCGCCAAATTTATTCAGTCAAATAAAAAAAATTCAGATAGCTGAGATAAAAAAAAAACTACTGAACTACGGAAATGATATTGTAGAGTATTTTAAAATATGTTATGCCTACATAAGCTATACTAACTTACCTGACATTACTGATGCTACCGATTTGACCACAAATGGTTTCCACTTTTTCCATGAATCTCCATACTCGATGAAGAATAGTCCCCGATTATCTCGGATGGCTTCAATCCTTCTTTTATTGCTTCATGCCTGTGAGATTTGCAAAGGATAAATAATGGAATAACATAAGGATAAAATACTACACATATATCTATATATAAATACCTGAAATTAATTATTTACCAATGTATTGTCAGGAGGTTAGAATTCACATTTAAGATCTCTATTTAGGCTTAACTGAATAAAACTTTGTAAATGTGAGACGAAATACTATAATTCAAACTATAATGTTCAAACATATTCGAGAATTCATATTTCGTGACTAACTCTTCAGAAATGAAAGTCGAGATTAAGATGCTCAAATGCTTTATTTATATACTTGTCAACACACGGCTCATCCATTCAGAACAACCCAATCTTGATTGAACATTTTGTATTAAAATATATTTCCATAATGTTGGTTTGACAATTTAGTAAAGTTTTTTAGGGAACTATTTGAGTTGTAGAGCAGATCCAAACAATGGCCAACCACAGGGCCCAGGCATATTTCTGAAATCAGTCGTTTCTGACATCTTAATTTATAAACTTCTAGGTGATTAAAATACTTCATATAGATAAAAGTTTCAACCCCGTGCTCGTTACTGAAAATGCAACCCATTCTGTTCTGCAAGCTAATTTTTTGTTCAAAATTAATTCAATGGCATCATGGCTGGAATATGCTATAGACACACTTTATAGAGGTTATCAATTTGTTAATAAAAACATGGGGCCAGCTAAAATTGATCGATATTGCACTGGTTAATCAATCAGTATGAGCTTTTAAACTTTAGTTACGAGTATTTGTACCCCAAGATTTCCGTGGAAATTGAAGTCTCTATCTCAACGAGAATATATATACTTTATCGAATAGTCATCGAAATATCAATCAATGAACATTTTTGTATTAGATTATCAAAGATTGAATTAATTTTTACTGTTTCTCTCAAGCAGAGTAGCTACAAATATAACCCAACAGGAACACCAACGACAATTTATCAAAACAATCCAGAAATCCCTTCGCATCCGAAATCTTTCTTCGTCCGCAACGTGACATTAATGTATGGACAATATGTGCGCCCTTATTAAGAGAAACTTCCATGCTTCCGCCATCATGAAATTGCTCGAAATGACCTCTTGAATTTTGAAATTGTCACAGGAAATCATCTTAATCATAAACAGAGCGTCATTAAATTCTACATTCTACGTGACATGCCTGGGATGCCGTTCGCAGTTTTGGTTGAATATTAAATAAAAATAATCCATAACAAGTTTATTACGTAGTTAAATCAAAAGATTCCCAACGAAATCCTTGCCGAGGATATTTGAGATTTAGAAGTCGAACGATGATTATATAACTGATGATAAATTTGGAATCAACTGCTTGGGTTATGTCATATCAGATAAAGCAAAATCAATTCCTCTTGTCGCCACTGCAAGTACTTCAATACTTTCATTCTTAAAAACAGCACCGTTTTTACAAGTTACAAGTCTTAGACGCTCTGCCTAGGCATCCGATATTAGACACTTCTCAGTTTCATGTTGAACAACCACACGCATTTTCTGTTAACGACAAATTGGTATTGTACCCAGTTTGTACAGTATATATTTCTCAATACATTTTAGATGGTTACAATAGATAGAATCACAAAAATGGATATGTTAGAGTTCACGCACAGTGTACCCTCCAGAAGCTGCTGCACATGCTTGGTTGGGAAATCTGGATTGAGTTTTTATGTTATTACAATATTATTTTAACTTCTTTATGCTGCAAATACACAAAATAAAAATACAATCAGTCAATATATATAGACTTTTGTCAGTTAATATCGCATCTCGAAGCAATGATGCTGATATTCGAGATATCGTCGTGTCCGTGATAGATCTTGGATTCAAATCTGGAACAAATTCAAGCAAACAACTGCTTTAACATTTTCATAAAATATTGTATTCAAATTTAAGTCGAAAAACGGTTTCTTTCCAACATCTAGACTGGTGTTTTGAATCAGATTCTTCGTACATTAGAGGCATAACTTTTTTTCATATCCGCATTAGAGCTGTATGTCAATGCTGCAAACTGCATATCCAAACGCCATCCAGGCTCAAAAAGTGCTGCTTGTTGTTGAGGCAGAAACCTGTAGCATCCAGCCAGCAAATTCCATATGCAGAGCACGCAACGAGTCGCAAACAGCTGTATTTTTCTAATTTTCCGCTTGTAACCTTTGTTGCTAAAACATGCTTGATATTAAATTAGTGTGGGTGGGTATTGCTCGAACTATCTGACTAAACAACTTCTTAAAATCCCCTCGAGTCATGCTTGTAAAGCACTCCGTTTCAATTTTTATCCTGTCTTACTTTCTAGCTTAATCACTTCTCCTCAACTACTTGAGATTTTCTTTTAACCTCAAATCTTCACTAAGAAGTGACTCATTTATAGTAGCCTCTTCGCCAAGATCAGAAGATGTTTTGATTTCGCAGTTACTACGATGAATAACCAAAGAAAACCTAACATAACACCAAATTTTGTGATTAACAATGTTTAAAAAAGCGTTTTGAAATCTGCTGAAACCAAACTTATAGTGTGATCATTTTAAGTTTTAGTTTTAATATTTCAGAATGCAGCTTTCCAATCAAGAAATTTGAGTTGCGGATTTACCTCTTTATTAGTTATTATTTTTAGCATTTAGTCGCCGATGATCATAATAGGTTTTTCACATTGAACACATAATTTCCCACGAGAACAAAAGAGCAATTATCGTTGTCATTATGGAACAATACATGTACATGCCAAAGGAAATTTTCGATTTAGGGAGAATAAACACCGGCGTAAAGATGTTGAAGGTTTAAAAACAGGCCATGCTGACGAAAACAATCGCAATTGTAACAAAATGCAATCGCGCACGTTATTAGCGACCTTTTAGGTCTTCCGAAAATGTCAAAAGGGACAAGATTCGGCCCCTAGTTCATTAATATGTTTGCCAAGTGTCAAATTTACAGCTTTAGTATATATAACTTATCTTTGAAATTTAGATATATTTATGACTTGTATTAACCCTAGTAAAAAGGATTTAGCGTTTTAATTAAGTAAAGTACTTTTAACTTACTCAGGAATATTAATCGGAAAGTAACAATTTTAACATTTATTTTGGGGCTCCGTGAATAGTATTCAACCTTTCAAGGGCTTCGCAACACAAAAAGTTTGAGAACCCCTGCTCTAGGACTAGGTAACCCTTTCACAAATCATAGTATGTACGAATAGCAATGCATGAACTGAGGAACTCTGGAACGGGATAATGAGAACGTTCGCGCTCTGATGAGAAAAAAAACTTTGAGAGTTGGCAAACGCGGCGTGACTAATATAGTAAATATATTAATATACCATTACCAAAACACTTTGAGCCATTGGCCATTATTGTACCACAATGACGTCGGCGCTAGAGGGCCGTTCGCAGAAAGGTGCGAGGTAAAAGGGAAAAACCATTGAAGAAAAAATTTAACTTTGGAGATCCGAAAGCTGAAATAATTGATGGGTGATGGCTCAAGTCATTCATATATCAGACTTCAAATATCCGTCAGTTGCTGGTAATAGATAGCACCGTCCACTTTTAAAAGAATTAAAGATGAGTAATGTATCAGATCCATACTAAATTCGCCCAGGACGTTCGTTGATAATTTTGAGCAAAATCTATTATCCAGTGAATTGCAGTGAACCAAACACGGCTTGATTGCATATATATTCAATATTATACACTTAGCTCTGTAAAACTAAGCTACATTCTATTAGTAGATTATGAATAAGGATAGTATAGGATAGGGTTTATATATTTATCCCGGGCGAGAGGAAAGCCGATAAGACGGCTTATCCATATGGCGAACCACGGCCTCTCGTCCGGTTACCATTCCAAGTCGGGTATGGGATTAGTTATATTGTTTGTTTTCGGAAGCATGGACTTGGTGGTGGAGGAAGCCGTAACAGACCAGCGGTTACGTGAACCACCCAACGACGGCGAGGAGTCCAGCAATCCTCTCGCACATAACCATCCCTGCATGGGATTCGAACCTGCGAACCCACGCAGAGTAATTAGAGGTGCGGTGGCGAGCGTGTTCCTAACGCTTAGCCCGTTGAGCCACACCGCCGCGCCGTGTGCCGCCGCCGGTGCCGTTCATACAAATATTCATCTTACACCCCCAACGTTTGTCATAACAACTCATGATATTTCGAAGCCATAAGCAGAAAAAACTCTATCATACTGAGTACACCCAAGCGTGTGACATCTGTGGCAATACAACCGGCTTTTCGTAAAATAAACCGGGAGCTGTGGCGTTTACCGCTTACTATTCATAGACTTTGTTTCTGAGACTCAGATTTTTAAAAGCGAACCGTGTAGAAATCGACCGATATTTAGTATGTTCCATTGATCGACGTAGTAATGAGAATTCATTGGCGTAATTTTGCATTAGATTAAAAATTAAATGATCATCATGTTGTTAGTATTCCTTTTCTTTTTTTCCCCCTCTTTTTGTGAAAAAATCGCTTTTCTCAAGTTGCGGTACGTTTTGGATTTCGTGTCCATATATTTGAAAACAACTACCTTGATTTGAATAATATGCTAGTTATATTGAGCGTTGCATTTGTCAAATTCCGCAGTAGGTATAAACAAATACAAATATCTTCAAATAAAACTGTTGTATTATTAGAAATGACAGTAAACTTAGCAAACTGATGAGAAAATATACTCGATATCTGTGCTGAGCAGAAACTCTCGGATAAAGTTAACTTGGTGATATTACTTTTTCTCATTAAAATTTTTATATTCTCAACAAACGCTATTTAAAATTTCGTGCCAGGTGCAGATTTTTTATATGGACTTTTATATGACTATTAATTACCATTTGAGGTAAATGAAAAAGCATAAGAAAAAGGTAAATTAAATCTGGATTAAATAATATTTTCTTAGGCTATGTATACAAATTGTCAGAGATTTTGTTTTGTTTGTCGATGAGTCAGCATAACTTTGTAGTCGGGAGACTGCAGTATAGCAGATGATATGCCAGTCATGTCTACATCTTCGTACTCCGGGTCTAACTACACATCATAGCTGTTTGAACGAGAAGATGTATAATTAGAATAATATAAACTCATTTACGGTAAATATAATAGATATATCATAAAGTAATATAAATATTTTACAAATAATCTGTAACCTATTTAAATGTAAGCGCTGATAAAACAGATGATGTCACCCAAAACATATTTCAATAATTTGCGGTTTCCATAACTCTGAGAAAATACTAACCGTAGCATTGTTGTAGCTAAAAAGACAAAGATATCAGCTTCTGCAATTTGTTTTCCAATGCATTTACGTTCTCCAACTGAGAATGGTATCACGTGATCCGATTTCACAAATTTTCCGTCTTTGTCCAAATGCCTGTCTGGGCGAAAAGCTTCGACGTCCGGCCCCCAGTACTTCAGATCATGATGAACACTCCACAAATTTGGATGAATGACAACGTCTTTTGGTATCTTATATCCACCAACTACAGTATCTGAAATGGTTTTGTGGTACAGCGCGCCTGGAGCTATTGGGCGCAACCTCATAGTTTCAATCAAAGGCAATAATAGTAATATTCAAGTAGTTACTTGTATGGCAGATGCATGATCCTGGGGTCCAGAGGGATACGTGAACTACCTCTTCGACTTAGTGCAAAAACGATTTATACCCTAATTCATTAGAACTATTTCATGCACATGTATATATGTAACACTTTTCTATTGCTTCACGTTAGTCCCTCACTTACCTGGAAAATGGGAGGAAACACGACAGTTACGGAGCGAACGATAATAGGGAGAATTTGATATTAGCTAATGGCGCGTAGATGTCGGATACGAGCTCTTGCAATTCCATTTTCTTCTTTGACAAAAATTCTTTGTTCATACAACTCTGAATAACAAGTCGTGTGTTGGTAAGATATTGACAAAACGCTGTAATCAGAGTCGTTGCTCGTCACAAAATTCAAATTTGTGTATTGTGATGTGGTAAATCGCCTTGCGTTACAATATTACATAATGCACTACAGAATAAGGGCAGTTTACACATATTTTAGAATCAGGCTAGAAATGCTTGGTTATACCTGAGGATTTTTTTTTTGTGAAAATAACTCGATACGTTTCTCCCGGCGGATCTGCATAGCATATGGGCTATCTACTCACCTAATTCGAAAACGTCATCGATATTACAAAAATGAAACGTGAAATACTGCATTATATATATATATATATATATGCTAATTGCCAGATAGTTGATACCTTGGTTTATTGAGCAAAATACAATTGAGTTTACATTTTTCTAGCCAAGAAAACTTTTTTACTAGACGGTGACGCCCAGGTTCTAACATGATAGAATTCGTATTCATCAGTATAGTATCCCATAAATGGTCAGTAGTAAAAAAAGAACAAATTATACATTTGACTAAAAATTACATATATTCCGGTCTATAAAAATGTTTACAATAATATGGTTCCATTACATTTGAACCCACGTACATTTGAACCCGTGACAATTGCCCCTGCATACTATTGCACCTATGAAAATTTTTTTGTTTTACGGATATTTGAACCCATACTAACCCTAACCCATGGGTTTTAGCACCCGCATATAGGTTGAACCTGCGGGTATACACATGGGTTCAAATGTACGGTCACCCAATAATATATATATATGCTTAGTACTTACAAGAAAAACAACCTGGGCCATACGATACAGTAAATAATCTCCCAAAGCTACAGACTCTCCGTTTTCAATAAAATCTTTCAAATCTTCAGACAAAAATTCATCTGCTTGTTCACAAATTATTTGGGGAAGATCTAAAACAATTTGTAAGCTACTTGAAAACCTGAAAGTTTGAAAAATGTCCAAAGCAATTCTTATTTGTTTGCGTTGGTATAAGTTGCCTTCATGGATTTATATCAGGTAACTTATAGATAAATTAGCACCAGAGCAAGCAGAAGTCAATTTTGTATTTTTCCATATGTTATAATTACAAGAGCTATACTAACTTACCTGGCATCACCGACGCTACCGATTTCACCACGAATAGTTTCCAATTTTTCCATGAATCCCCATACTGAATGAAGAATAGTCCTCGATTATCTCGTATGGCTTCGAATAATGGACCGGTAATACGACCAGACATCTCACTTTTATTTGTTAACAATCCTTCTTTTATTGCATCGTACCTGTGAGATTTGCATATGATCTATTATTACCTTATTATAAAGATAAAATACTGCTCAAATATTCGATATAAAATTAGCTAGAATTCACCTATCTTTTATCGTCATGACGAGTTCTAGAATTAGTATTTAAAATTTCAAGGCAGCTTACTTCATTGAATCTTTTGAGTAAGTTAAAAATATGAGACAAAATACTAAATCTACGCCGCAAATTTCATATATATTATTATATATTCGAAAATTTATATTTCGTGACTAACCCTACAGAAACAAATGAACGCCGAGATTAAGATGGCCAATTGTCAATTTATATATCTCTTACTATCTACCGTCAAAGCATAGCTCACCCATTTAGAACAACGCAATCTTGGTTGAACATTTTGTATCGAAATATATTTCCATAATGTTGGTTTGCCCAATTCAGCAAAGTTTTTTCAGCAAACGATTTGAGCTGTAGAGCAGATCCAAACAATGGCCATCCCCATGGCCCAGGCATATTTCTGAATTCAGTCGTTTCTGACATCTTGATTAATATCCTTCTAGAATCTATAGATGATTCAACTACCTCATATAGCTAAATGTTTCAAAATCGTGCTTGTAAGTGAAAATTCGACGATTCTGTTTTGCGAACTAATTTATTATTTAATAATACCTCAATAGAATCAGAGCTGAAATATTCTAGACACACGTTAGAGAAGTTATCAGTTTGTTAATATAAACATGACCGCAGATAAAATTGGTCGATGTAGCACTGATCATACAATTAATAGGAGGTTTCAAACTTTATTCAAGGATTGCATAGAAATTGATGTTTTTTTTCAACAAGAACATACTTTTTATAAATAGCCTGGCGTATGGCGTAACTCTAATCTGGTACACATAATGCGTTCCGGTGTCCGCCATCTTGGTTCACATACTTCAAGAGTACCAATTTTTAATTAAAGATTGAATTATTTATTGCTGTTTCTCACAGGTACAGTAGCTGAAACTATAACCCAACACCAACGACAATTTATTAAAACAATCCATGAATCCACTACGTGTCCAAAGATTCTCTCTGTCCACAACGTGACATTAAAGTCTGAATAATATCGGCGCCGTTGTTAAGGGGAAATGTCCATACTTCCTTCCCTCATGAAATTACTCGAAATGATCTCTCGGGAAATTATGTTAAGCATCAACAGATTGTCATTAATATCACATTCTACGTGAGATGCCTGATAATGGATTTCAATCGTGTACAGTGCGCGCTATGACACAGATAATGAAAATATGATACTTCAATTAAACGCGCTGCATTCACAACTACTTTCATGCATTAGTCAATGTAGCAAAGTGAACCGCACCGCCACGAACTTCAACACCTTCTTGGTACCTGCTTGGTATATTAAAAATATTTGAAGAAGTTAGCAACAGCATATATCATTTTGAATTTTTAACTGCAAGTTTGTCAAACGTAAAAAACGGATATATACAAATGCATTTGATACGGTTATGATGCCATTTATTTATTAATTTTTTTTATAATCTCCATCTTTTACATAGAGATCCAATTGTAAGGATCTACATTTCAAAACATTTGGCGTTTTTTTTAGTTTTATATTGTCTACCCGTCTTATGTGGACAAATGGATGGGAATTGAAGTCAGTTTATATTTGAATATGAACCAAAGTAACAGTATGTTACAGAAGTAACAGTGAAATATTTAGTCAGCATTTACTCTGATGAATAGGCTGCACTAAGTGAAAAATGAGTCATATAATATTTCGTGGATGAAGTCGCATATAAAAAAATCTATAATATATGTTACAAATTTTGAAATGCCGTGCAATATCGGTTATCAAACTAACATTCAATATATTAGATTTTATCGACAGGACATTTGATTGCAAACAACTTGTTCGAACTTGAAAATGAATAGACTACAATGCTCAAGACAAGCCTTTTTTCAGTGGGCTCAAACAATTTTCACTGAATATTGAATCAAATAGGACTGACGGAAGTGTACCAGCTATGTCCAAGCAATATTTCATCCTCTAAAAGGATGAACATTATTTTTATTGTTGTAAATCTTTTACTATAGCATATTTACTTTTAAAACGCCATTTGCGAACGTCACAATACACGACATAAATGCTCAAATATAGGAACACCAAGGACATAACAGAGAAGTATCAAACCTTTACAGTACACTTACGGGTAGTCTATACATCATCAAAAAACTCCTGACTTTGCTGAGCTGAAATGCGATCGCGGAACCGCCACACGGTGCCAAATTTTTTAAATTTGCTAACGTCATTGCACAAAACTAAGTGTGATACGAGCCCCATTCTGACAACATATAATAGATGTATATAGCGAACCGATATTTAGTATGTTCCATTGATCGACGTAGTAATGAGAATTCATTGGCGTAATTTTGCATTAGATTAAAGGCATTTACGGCGTTCTGTGATTTTATTGGACACGAAATAAACCAATAGATCGTTTGTTATTATGTTGTAGATTTCGATGATCATCATGTTGTTAGTATTCCTTTACTTTTTTCCCCCCTCTTTTTGTGAAAAAATCGCTTTTCTCAAGTTGCGGTACGTTTTGGATTTCGTGTCCATATATATATTTGAAAATAACTCTCTTGTTTTGAATAATATGCTAGTTATATTAAGCGTTGCATTTGTCAAATTCCGCAGTAGGTATAAACAAATACAAATATCTTCAAATAAAACTGTTGTATTATTAGAAATGACAGTAAACTTAGCAAACTGATGAGAAAATATACTCGATCTTTGTGCTGAGCAGAAACTCTCGGATAAAGTTAACTTGGAGATATTACTTTTTGTCATTAAAATTTTTATATTCTCAACAAACGCTATTTAAAATTTCGTGCCAGGTGCAGATTTTTTTATATGGACTTTTATATGACTATTAATTACCATTTAAGGTAAATGAAAAAACATAATAAAAAGGTAAATTAAATCTGGATTAAATAATATTTTCTTAGGCTATGTATACAAATTGTCAGAGATTTTGTTTTGTTTGTCGATAAGTCAGCCTAACTTTGTAGTCGGGAGGCTTCAGTATAGCAGATGATATGCCAGTCATGTCTACATCTTCGTACTCCGGGTCTAACGACACATCATAGCTGTTTGAACGAGAAAATGTATGATTAGAATAATATAAACTTATTTACGGTAATTATAATAGATATATCATAAAGTAATATAAATACTTTACAAATATTCTGTAACCTATTTAAATCTAAGCGCTGATAAAATAGATGATGTCACCAAAACATATTTCAAGAATTTGCGGTTTCCATAACTCTGAGAAAATACTAACCGTAGCATTATTGTAGCTAAAAAGACAAAGATATCAGCTTCTGCAATGGGTTTTCCAGTGCATTTACGTTCTCCAATTGAGAATGGTATCACGTGATCCGATTTCACAAATTTTCCGTCTTTGTCCAAATGCCTGTCTGGGCGAAAAGCTTCGACGTCCGGTCCCCAGTACTTCAGATCATGATGAACACTCCACAAATTTGGATGAATGACAACGTCTTTTGGTATTTTATATCCACCAACTTTAGTATCAGAAATGGTTCTGTGGTACAGACTGCCTGGAGCTATTGGGCGCAACCTCATAGTTTCTTGTATAACCGCTTTCAAGAATGGTACTTTTTCTTGACATTTGTAAAGATCCCATATAGCTGAATAGAAACGGTTTGCATAGCATCAACTACAAAGCATTATTCGATAGCTCAGAATATTTAACATACTATAATTTTCTACTGCGTCATGCGGCTGGTCCAAACCTGCCGATATTATGCGATTGGTTGCGACTGCATTTTTTGACAATTTGACATTATAATGAATGTTTTTTATTTAATCAGTGACTTGGAATCTGTCGGTGTTGTTCACGCCCCAATTTTCAGAAATTTCATGCGCTCTCATGGAAGTGAACAAATAATTTTTTGAAACAATTCAAACAATTTATTTCATTTGAAATATATAAAAATTTCCGAAAAGTATACTATAGGGCAGTGGTCGGCAACCTTTTTCAAGTGGCGGACCGGCAAACTTTTGGCGGACCACCTTTATACAAATAAACTAAGCCTATGCAATAAATTATACGCATTAGGAAATTTACTAAAAACGACGGTGATGCTATTTAATGCGATACCTGTATTTGTTGTGGTGGCCATTAACTGTTCCCATATTCGAGACATTGACACACGTAATATGTTTCTTACATCTAACCTACTTCGATATTATATCGTTTTTGTAGTTATCAATATTGATGACCAGGCCTCACATTAAGATTTCGGGTTAACAATGCCTGCATCATATTGTTGGGGAGATCTTATTCGGACTGATGAGAGACATTCTTATACGGCGTAAAGAAAATAATTGACCCAGCATTATTGCGACATACTGATATGGCAATTGTTTATGAAGTCAGACTTGCTGCTCAATAGTGTTGTGCAGGGGTCGGCAACCTTCATGTTCTTGCGGGCCAAATATACACGTTTCCGGAAGCGCGCGGGCCGCAATATTTCCGCCTTCGAACAATCGCTACATTAATTAAACTTCAAATTATGGCGCATTCGCATTGCTGCCCTTCTATTGCTGTGTTGAAAGCCTGTCCCAATGAGATGTGTATGTGGCGTTTTTTTTATTATATTATCCAACAATACATTGTTTTTATTTATCTATTATTAATGTGAAGGATGATGTTTTTATGGCAACTCGTCGTCCAAGTGATGATCTGACAAGCGAGTACGAAATTTAATCTAAGTTTAATGCATTTCAGATGAAACTGCTCAAGGCCATATGTTCTTCCGAACGTGAACATTACACATTTTGCACTAAGCACAGATGAGCTGTGGCGCAGTCCCGGGTCTCGTGATCGAATTTTCGACGACTCGTTCCGTAACGAGTTTATTTAAAACATTGAAATCCTTAACAAATGCGATGCTGACTGGGCATATCGAGCAAACTGGTTTTGTAATGCCCAAGAAAAAAAAATACTGTTGGGTGCTGTTTTTAGTTGTAGGGCTTGTGGTTAGATTGTAGAGGTTTTATTGCGGCCTTGTCTGTTTTTGTGTCACCTCTCTGCGGACCGGCAGTAACCTTTCCGCGGACCGGCGATGGGCCGCGGCCCGGTGGTTGCCAACCACTGCTATAGGGTATGAATTCCAGAATAAATTTGCCATACATTCATAACCTTTCATGCCTTCTTCAATTTCATGTTGAACTTCTCCCATCATATCTGGATGTTTCGAAAGGAATAAAATGACCCACATCAATTGGTTCGCCACAGTCGCTGAACCGGCTGATATCATGTCCATAAAGATTAGCGCAAGTGATTCCAGATCGCCTTGATCGGGTTCAGGATATTCTAAACATAGAACACTGTATTTGCATCATATAAGTATGCCTGTTTGTTCTCGGGAGTTGTGAGTTTTTTTCGCTCAGAAACGAATATAATCGAAAACAAACTACAATAATAAGTTGTGACTTATTCGGAAATGCTGGCAGGATTCACCTAATAGAGACTGGGTGTGTGGAAGGACACATTTAAACAAATGTTTGAATAAGCTATAATTATTATGAGTTACTTGCTTGCGTATTTTACTTCTGGAGTTGCATTCAAATACAAAAAAGGACATTTGAACTATTTTTTTCTTACCATACGTTATAAACATGTCGCAAAAAATTTACATAAAAAATACAAATGATGATTGATGTAAAGTAAATTGAAAATCAACCAGATAATTAATATACTGTACCGTTTCCCACCTTCAAAAAAGAAACAAGTCAGGTCCTTCATATGGGAACGTTTTTCTTGTCGATGTTCTTCTATCAGAGCAATAATCCTGTTTACAATTTTTGATCTGCGGGTGCTTTCATCAGCCAGAAAACTGTTTATTACATTTTAAATAACTATTAACTAATATTATTATTACCTAAGAACTAATAAACCATTTTGGGAATTCCATGTAGCTCTGTGTAACTAATTAGAATGCGTTAGAATTAGAATTGTTGTGTCAAAGATTAATAGGTACTATCAAAGTATGTGAACCAAGATTGCGGACACCGGAACGTAGTATGTGTACCAGTTTAAGGTTAGGCCATAATTTCAGGTACAAATACTACGGGAGTGACTTGGTTAGACCCCGAACTCATAATAGAACTAAAATGAGGAAAATTGGAAAAAATAAAATGGCCTAACCCTAACCTGGTACTCACCACGTTCCGGTTCCGCCATCTTGATTCACATATTTCGGGAACGAACGATAATCGTGCTCACTCATATTGTGAGTCGATGCCCCATGCGCAGTTATCAATCAAAGTCGATTATAGTAATATTCAAGTAGTTACTTGTATGGCAGATGCATGATCCAGAGGTCCAGAGGGATACGTGAACTATCTCTCCGACTTAGTGCTAAAACGATTTATACCCTAATTCATTAGAATTAATTCATGCACATGTATATATGCATATTCATGTATCACTTGTCTATAGCTTCACGTTAGTCCCTCACTTACCTGGAAAATGGGGGGAAATACGACAGTGACGGAGCGAACCATAATATGGAGAATTTGATATTAGTTAAAGGCGCGTAGATGTCGGATACGAGCTCTTGCAATTCCATTTTCTTCTTTGACAAAAATTCTTTGTTCATACAACTCTGAATAACAAGTCGTGTGTTGGTTAGATATTGTCAAAACGCTGTAATTAGAGTCGTTTCTCGTCACAAAATTCAAATTTTTGTATTGTGATGTGGTAAATCGCCTTGCGTTACAATATTACATAATGCACTACAGAACAAGGGCAGTTTACACATATTTTTAGAATCAGGTTAGAAATGCTTAGGTGGTTATACCTGAGGATTTTTTTTGTGAAAATAACTCGATACGTTTCCCCCGGCGGATATGCAATACCATACGGGCTAGCTACTCACTTAATTCGGAAACGTCATCGATATTACAAAAATGAAACGTGAAATACGCAATATATATATATATATTGCTAATTGCCAGATAGTTTATACCTTGATTTATTAAGCAAAATTTAATTGAATTCACATTTTTCTATCCAGAAAACTTTTTTACTAGACGGTGACGCCCAGGTTCTAATATGATGAAATTCGTATTCATCAGTAGTATCCCATAAATGGTCGCTATAGTAAAAAAAAGCACAAATTATACATTTGACTAAAAATTACTTTTATTCCGGTCTAAAAAAATGTTTACAATAATATATATATGCTTGGTACTTACAAGAAAAACAACCTGGGCCATACGATACAGTAAATAATCTCCCAATGCTACAGACTCTCCGTTTTCAATAAAATCATTCAAATCTTCAGACAAAAATTCATCTGCTTGTTCACAAATTATTTGGGGAAGATCTAAAAGAATTTGTAAGCTACTTGAAAACCTGAAAGTTTGAAAAACTTCTAAAGCAATTCTTGTTTGTTTGCGTTGGTATAAGTTGCCTGCATGGATTTATATCAGGTAACCTATAGATAAATTAGCACCAAAGTAAGCAGAAGTCAATTTTGTATTGTTATGATTACAAGAGCTATACTAACTTACCTGGCATCACTGATGCTACCGATTTGACCAAGAATGGTTTCCACTTTTTCCATGAATCTCCATACTGAATGAAGAATAGTCCTCGATTATCTCGTATGGCTTCGAATAATGGACCGGTAATACGACCAGACATCTCACTTTTATTTGTTAACAATCCTTCTTTTATTGCATCGTACCTGTGAGATTTGCATATGATCTATTATTACATATTATAAAGATAAAATACTGCTCAAATATTCGATATAAAATTAGCTAGAATTCATCTATCTTTTGTCGTCATGACGAGTTCTAGAATTAGTATTTAAGATTTCAAGGCAGCTTACTTCATTGAATCTTTTGAGTAAGTTAAAAGTATGAGACGAAATACTAAATCTACGCCGCAAATTTTATATATATATTTGAAAATTTATATTTCGTGACTAACCCTACAGAAACAAATGAACGCCGAGATTAAGATGGCCAATTGTCAATTTATATACTGTATATCTTACTATCTACCGTCAAAGCATAGCCTACCCATTTAAAACAACGCAATCTTGGTTGAACATTTTGTATCGAAATATATTTCCATAATGCTGGTTTGCCCAATTCAGCAAAGTTTTTTCAGCAAACGATGTGAGCTGTAGAGCAGATCCAAACAATGGCCATCCCCATGGCCCAGGCATATTACTGAAATCATTCGTTTCTGACATCTTGATTTATAACTTTCTAGATAATTAAACTACTCAGCTGGAGCTGGAGGTTTCAAACAATGCAACAGATTCAGTTGTGTAAGTTGTGTAACTGGATTTGCTTGACACACGTTAGAATATTATCGATTTGTTGATAGAAACATGTATCCAACTAAAATTGATCGATATAACGTTGATAAATCAATGCCGGGAGGTTTTAAGAGTTTTAAGTTTTCTACTTTTCCTAGCTTTTGTGCCCTACGAATTGCATGAAAATTGATGTCTTTATCGAAACTAGAATATACATTATCGAAAAGCCATCACCATGTAATCGAAATATCAATGAACACTTTTACATAAGATTATAAAAAAACTGAATTAATTTTTTCTGTTTCTCGCAAGCAAAGTAGTTGGAATATAACTCTAACGACAATTTTTCAAAACGTTCCCACAAATCCTCTCCGTGTCCAAAAACTCTCATCCACAACGTGACATGTCGAACAATATTGGCGCCGTTGTTTAGGGAAACTTCTATGCTTCCGCCGTCATCAAATTGCTCGAAATAACCTCTCGAATTTCAAAATTGTCCATAGCCAATTATCTTAATCATATTACACAGCGCGTCATTAAATTTCATATTCTATGTTACATGCATGGAAATGGATTGGTGTGACGATTGTGCACAGTGCGCGTGATGACAGATAATGAAAATAGGAGCTACTTGAATTAAACGCGGAAATAACTTTCAGCTTTTGCCAAAGTCCGTGATGAACAATTTACTGCGATAGAAATAATTCGCCCACGAGGAACTTAGCATTAGGAATGAAATGAAAACGCTTCTACAACATGTTGTATATATCAAATTTCATGTCAAGCAGAATATAAAAAAGGTAACCCAATTCAATACACATAGCTCACACTAACAATGCGGGTAATTCTGTGATTGATATTATGACATAAAACAATTGATAATATATACAAAATATGGTTGCATCATTGTATTGAGAGTATCGCAGAAAAATCATTTCCTCATACAAATTCTGGTATGTGATCAGAGATGGATCATATTTGCTGCAGTTGAAATGAAAATGGAAATATTTCAAAAATTGTTCATTCAAACTTTATCTATGTGCTTCTCGACGTCCAAAATGCTCATATCACATTGCATGCACAACCATTTACACTCATCAATCCATGTTGCGAAGTACACCACAACGTTGTGCACTTTAACATCTTGAATATTATTAAAGTTTCGATATTCACTGCCTCTTTTTGTGTAGTTATTATTTTTGCACAGCTTAGATTACACTCATGTACGGTGATGGTATATATATTCGGTGATTCCAATATTTTTACTGACCTAATACAACAGAGTTCTGGTTCTGTTATATAATCACAACGAGCAGTACCATCTGTTTTACTCTTGCCATAAACTCAGCTGTGGTCCCTGTAGATTGGATTTGGGCAACCGAGCCTACAGTTTGAGTTACTAGTCTCAGACATGTGCCAAGAATAAACAGATATACTACTATTGGTATTCACTACTAAAGACGAGGTATATTGGAATAGAAAATATCACATTGTCATACAACATTATAAAGCTTAAAAATACAAACTATAGGGTTAGGGTTACAGAGATTGAATATTTTCCTGTAATTGTATGGCATCTATTCAATTCGGAAAGAAACGCAGTGAGATACTCTTGTAATATTTGGCTAATGCCGCTCAAGAAAATAACTAACGCCAAGCATGTTGAACGCTATTCAAATGTCGCTTCCAATCACAGACGGATTCCTCGTAGTAAAATATTCTCGGGAGAAATTCCTCTCTGACTGGGAAAAATTGTTCTAACCAAATACAATATTTTGAAAGATTTTAGATATTCCGTACAAATTGAAAGGACATAAAACGTGAACAAAAATCCAATTGCCAAATGCTGTCCAAGAAGTCCAAAAGGAGATATCACGCCACGATCCTTACAAATATGAAATTTCTGATGTAACACTTTCTGTCCGTATGACGCGATTCAAACTGCTGACTTGTAACAGGGAATATAAGGGAAATATTGAATCAGCGTGATCAATTTACGAATTTAAACTACCAAATAAATAGACGATTGCAGAATGATAATGGGGTATCACGGGAAACCACCAGTACAGTGAAAATTCGAAAGCTTCCAGTGAAAGACTAGTTTGAAGAGACATCAAGTCAAATCGGAGATCTGGTATATCTTATAACCGATGAACATAAAGGCTGTTCTAGAGATCATTATCTAGAAACCGCTGTTGACCAACCATGGGTGCTCCGTGCGTAAATTCGTTGTATAAAAACTGAGTGCGGCTTCTTACAAAATTGAACGATGCAAATGTCACAAAGTAGCGCGAATTATTGTTGTACAAAGGAAAATGTTCAACAGGATTCAAGCGACTACGAAGAATTAGACCTTGAACAACAACCATATGTCAGTGAACCACTGGAGGAAGAGCCTACACTTGTTCCCGATGAGTCAACAGATCTCGTACATCTTACTATGATGATATACATGAAGAAATCAACAAACACAATGATTTGGAGGTCATACATTGAAATCTAAAATCAGCAGTATACTGCCAGAGTCTACCGATGAAAAAAAAAAAATTCCACCTCGAAGATCAATCAGAACAAGAAAAAACCGTCTTGTTTGGAAGGTTTCATACTTAGTTAGAGTGTCTCAGATTATAGGATCCAGAACAATACCAGATCGAGACACCTAGATGTGGGCAGTCTACCCACACTAGCAGTTAGGTGTATATACATGGTATATTGTGTAATATATCAAATTGCGTTATTTGTTTATAGATAAGAAAGAAAGTGGTGACGCCAGATTATTAGTGTTTGCCTTAGATTTCTCAACGTGATTTCTCCAGTTCAGTGGTAAACATTTTAATCAACCTGCTCATGTGTGATGGCGATCTGAATATCATCACGTGCTCTGGCTTTGTAGTATCCGAGCTATACAAATAAATACTAGAGCGCGCTTCGCTCTCGTTCTGTGGGCTTAACTGGAGACTTTGGTAAAATCTCTTCAGTGGTAGTTATTGCGTTTTTAGGAGATCAGTCAAAAACAATTGCTTTCACTTAGATCAATTGTGTAATTGCCCAAACAACCACATTTTTCGAACAACTAGATCCACATCAGGCTCTAAATTCCTAACTTGAATATAATTGTATCCAGAAAGTTTCAAATGTATTAGTGCAGATGATCAGTCTGTCGTTGTTTACGTTTATATTGTTTGCCACACAGAACTTTTGTGTTGTATTCGGGGCGAAGGATCGTCGCAGGATATAGTACGTAACATTCGGCCTCTTGAAATTTGGACCTAACTTAGATAAATACACGACTATGACCTCACATTTTGATTTTTTCAATGAGGCATAATTTCCCAACATTTAGAGCTTCAAAAGATTAGGTTCAATTTATACGTACTGTAAATCAATGATATAGGCCAGGGGTGTGCAACCTTTTTCGCAGGCGGGCCAAATATCAATAACCGGGTTAAACCGCGGGCCGCACCTACATTTCACACAGGCTTTCTATTAGTTGCAGGCACAAAATGGTGTCTTTTTGTTATTGATCTCATGGTCCTTACAGAAATGATGAGTTAAAACGCATTAAGTTCTTAGAACTGTAATTTAAAGATATATATTGTTGCACCCAATTTAAACGTATTCAGTGAGAAATTTGCTTCTGGATTCTATTCCCGACTACTTTTATCCAAATTTGCTTAAATGGAAGTGCTAGCAATTTGATGCGACGCCCATTTTAGAACAAAAATATATTATCGAAAAGTGCCATATTTGAAGCCATGACTTTTTCAAATGTGGGAAGTAACTTGATTGAGAAGTTTCCAGTAAAATGCGCCAAGTTTCATTTCCAAATAATTTGCTGTCAAATCTTATTCTAGATTCGATTTAGACAACATCAACTGATAGACTGAAACCAAAACTCATTTAGCTATTTTATCTTTTAATATTAAAAGTTTTCAAACTGCTATTCAGTTGCCGCCGCGGGCCGCACAATTTTCCCTTGCGGGCCGCATTTGGCCCGCGGGCCGCACTTTGCACACCCCTGATATAGGCTATAAACACTAATAAAATCTATATGCACACATATATTTCTTTTTCAACTTAAAACTTAACAACAACCTTGAAGTACTGCATAGTCAGCAAATAGTCAATTAGCCTATCATCCAACCCTACACTGCCGGATGGCATATATATAATATGGTTAATGCCTAGTCCAACTCTAAAAGGTATTATTGGTCTTTCACAGTTAATGTTCTATAGTAGAGTCTTATTCATATATTTCACGAAAATAGGACTCCAGCTTCGCTGAGAATGCCAGTTCTATAAATAGCATCAATTTCAAAATCGCCAGTCAGAAATGTAAAATCGTTGACGTGACTCAGACTGGAAATGAACTACAATTACCTCCCTTATGATGGCTTAGTATTGGCTTATCATGTATTTTCATTCATACATTCCATCCCTGGCCTAGTGATGGTTTGAAAAATATGATTTTGACTGCACCATACTTGGTGTAGGTATAGAGAATTTTTAAATGTGAAAAAAACGTAAATTTAATGGTAATTTTTACGCGTACCGGCGCGCAATATAATGTTTACGTCTTTCTACGCGCATTTGCGTTGAAAAAAATAACATTTTTTGCATTGAGGGTACCTAAGCAGTAATAATTAGAGGTGTGACGTCATCAAAATTGTCAATTGAAGCGTTGAACTTGATAAATCTGTAAATACAATCGTGAATTTTAGAGTAACCATTCTTGCTATAATAGTGGTTTTGTTGTTGTTCTGTTGGAAAATAACACAAGAAAACATTGAAATAAAAATTAATTAATTCGGAATAATTATTAACCCTCTACTAGACACTAAATCTCGCAAGTTCAAGGTTGTTCAATAGAAATTTTGGAATTTTCGTTAAGAAAAAAATATTATTAGAGTGTATTTTAAACATATATTGCTGAATAGAACTCTAGTTATTCTAGAGAGAATATG